GCATGTGTCCTGTGCATTGTGTTGTGCATTGCATGCCTGTGGGCATCATGGGGGCAGTATCTATGTGCACTGCATCATACATGTGTGCATGTGTGCTTGTGTGAGTACATTGTGTGTTGCACATGTATGCATCATGTGGATATTATGTGTGCTTGTGTATACAAGGGTGTGCACATGTGGGAGTGTGGACTTACTGCATTGTGTGTGCTTTGTGCACACGTGTTTGCATTAGTGTGCACATTGAGTACCTGTGTGTGTACATATGCACATTTTGCACATGTGTGAGTGATATGTGTGCATTGTGGGTGTGCTTGTTGCAAGTGTTTGAATGTGTATTTGCCATGAGTGTGTGCATGTGTGTGCTTGTCACAGATGTGTGTAGGTGTGTGTGCATGCATGCTTGCTATGAACATGTGTGTCTTAAAGCAGTGCCTGGCACTCCTATTACTGTCATTGCTCAGCCACATGCAGCCACTTACTGGCTTCAGAAGAGTCAGATTGTGTGCCAACAAATGCCATATGGGGCCTCCCTCTCCACCGCCTCCATGCCAGTGAACCAGGCTCTCCTGGGGGACTGATGGGGGCAGGGAGACAATGCTACCTGCTGCCCTCAGCCAGGCCCCACCCACTCTGGGAGGAGAAGATTCATTCTCAGTTCATGGGCATGCAGGTGGGCTCTTGTGGGGCCATAAGCTATGGGAATGCCCTCAATGGGGTACCTCATCCTGGGCCTGAATGCGAGGCTCTGTGGTCTCCCTGGAGTTCCCCATGGGAACTCAGCTGGATGCCGTGCCTGGGGCCCTCTCAGGGAGCACAGCACTTTAGACTTGGTGTCAGTGCAGTGTGTCCTCCCTGGAGAAATGTGGGCTCCGGTGGGACTGCCCAGACCGTGAGACAGGCCACAGAGGGGACAAATGAGCATGGAGTTGGGGGCCAAACACTGGACACCAGAGAGAACTCTTGCAGGGCTGTCCTACCCAACCACCAGGGGCAAGAGCCTCTCCCTTCCATCCTGCACCCACATGCCAGAGAGCCCAGCCTTCACCCAGCTCTGCCAGTACAAACTTCTTATCCAACATCTGTGGGTCTCAGTTCTCCTGGGCACAGAGGGCCATGCTTGCCTCACAGGGCCAGGAGGTTAAGCAAAGTCCACCAAGTATGTGAGCCATCACAGTGCTTGGCCCATGACAGATGCTGACCAAAGAGGAGAGGGGTGTGCTCCTGTCTTCAGCCTTTTATCCCTGTCCCTGTTCCATCCTCTACAGAGGTCCCAGCTCCCAGCAGAGCCTCCCCCCACCCCCAGGCCTCTTTCGGGTGCTTGGCTCAGTGAGCAAGTCTTGTAGCAACAGCAGGCTTTAGGCCTCAGCTCAGTAATTTCCCATGATTACAGCCCTGTCAGTGCACACATGCTCCAGCTGCCAGGAAGCTGTAGGGCCAGGCACATGCTCACACACGTGTCTGCACACACAGGGGCACACGTTTCTACATGTGTGGGGAGAGGGGTGTGCACACAGAACCCAGGCACAGGAATCCTCAGTCATGCCAAGAACACAGAGACTCCATGTTGCCCAGGAAGCCTTCAGGAACAGGTGACAAGTCTGACACAAAGGAGAGGGGTGGGGAGGGGGAAGCTGCAGGCTGAGAGCTCCCACTGACCCCACTCTGCTGCCAGAATCTTCCACTGTCCCTCCCCTGCACTGCTCAAGGCTGGCACAAGAAAGAGATGCCCACCCTGATGTCTTGAGAATTCCTAAGCATTCTGTGTATGCACATGTATGTGTGTGAATGTGCATGCGTGCAGTATCCTCACATGTGCTGTTCTGCGTGTACATGTGTGTACCATGGAGCATTCACTGCACATGTATATGGACATGTGTGCGGTATATTGTGATGCTGTGTATATATGTGTATGCACAAATATGCATGCTTGTGTTATGTGTGTGTTATGAATGCATATGTACATTATACTATGTGTACACGTGTGTGCTTTGCATGCATGCTGTGTGCACACAAGTGCTTTGCACATGCATGTGTGCAAGTGCATGCATGCATCAGTATAAGGAAAATCAGTCAGGCATTGCCATGGTCTGGCTGTGTCCCACAGAGGTTGGTTACTGGAGGCCAGGCCTGTGAAGGCAATGTCAGGATGACAGAACCTTAAAAGGTAGAGCTGGATGGTGGGTAACTGGGTCACAACCAGTCTCAAAAGGGATTCATGAAGGTGTCTTGCAGTGAGGTGGTTCTGAGCCAATGAATCGTTACAAAGTAACTCTTATGGTCTCTGCTTCCCTCTTGCTTCCTGTCACTATGTGACATCCAGCGTGCTGAGATGTGGATCCTGCCCTTGCTGCTGTGGTTCCCACACCCCAGCATCACAGAGCCAATCTGGATACATTTCTCTATACACAGACAGTGCCGAAAGATGTGCTTCATCCAGTGACATACGTCCTGGCCTCTGCCTCCAGGCCAGCTGTTCTCTGCCCTTTGTTCTTTGTGGCTCCGTCTGTGTCCCAAAATGGAACCAGGTCTGCTGTTCTTGTCCCCATTCCATGGTGTCCCAAGCACAGCCTGTTTGGAGGCAGCAGAACACAAGAAGGGCAAAGAGAGCAGGGGCCACATCCACCTTCCTGAGGGGGGCCTAGGGAAAGGTTTGGGGTGAGCAAAGGGTCACCAGAGCTTGCTCTGGGGTCAATGCCAGGCTCTGGTGTGGTCTGGCGGTATGGTCATGGTGGCTGTCACACTACGCCAGGGTCTCTGTGAGGCACAAGAAGCTGGATGCTCAGTCATAGAACCCTGGCCACGTGAGTGCTCCTCACATCACCAGACTCCATTGGATTGCAGGAGGGTCCCCATTCAGTGAGAGCCCAGAGCCTCAGGCAGGCGCCACGCCCAGCAGAGCAGTAGGCCATGCGGGTGCCATGGCAATGCCATTGTGGCCAACCTCTCCTGTAACCATGGGAATGTGCTCCGGGCCCTGGCAGCTTATGCAACACCTCGGATGGAGGAGACTTGCCTGCTGCCTGCCTGCCTGCCCACCCCAGGGGCACCTTCAGGAAGCCAGAGCCCCAGGAGAGTCTGGGAATGTGGGGTATATCCAACCCCCACGGTCTCCCACAGAAGGGCAGGCCAGAGGTCAAGCAGCCCTCCACTGTGCTCCGAGTCTGTGTTAGAGAAGAAGTGGGGGGCAGGAGGAGAAAGGGTGGCCAGGAAGGGAAATTCTCATAGCCAGGGATGGAAGGCTGGCCTCCTCCTTGACATACTTAGATCCCAGATGTTTGGGATCACCGACACCAGACAGTGGCTGGACACTCCACCCACTCCTCGCAGCCGAGCCAGGGCCTCTGGAAGGGGGAGGGGAAAGCAGAGAATGTGCCTGAGCAAGCCAGGGGAGCCTGACCACAGGAAGAAGGTTCACAGAAGAGCTGGGCCGCTGGACAAAAAAACAAATCTTCAGTTTCTTGTCCATTTCCAAAGCTGGGTCAGCCCAGAAGCAGCCCCAGCTCCTCCAAGAGCTGCTGGCCACCAGCAGCCCCAAGACTTGAGGCCATCCCAGAGGTGCATAACGGTCCATGGGCAGGAAACTCAGGACCTTTCCGTGTCTCCTTCTGCCTGCCCTAGTGTCCACTCCATCCCAATCCCATCCCCCTCATTCTATGTCACCCCAATCTTTTCAAACCCCAGCAAGTTTCCCCAAAGTGCAGACTAGTCCTCCACTCTGTCTGATAACAATGAAGACCAATGCCCTGGCCTTGACCTTGCTCTGCTCCTCCCAAGGGACCTTGGCAGTCTCTGCCCTCCTTCCCCCATCACATTCTAACTCAATTTCTTGACGTGGCTGCAGGCCACTTGGGCCGTGCAGAAGCATGATCCCAATTGCTAGGGTCCACCTGTGCTTGCTCTCTGCTTCTTACTTCACAAGACTGAAAGGACTTATTCCTCCCCTTCCTGTGGGGCCCACCACCCCATCCCATATGGCCAGACCAGGAATCCCTTCTTATGCCTGGCCCTGCAGGCTCACTGACCCACCAAGGGCTCCAAGGGCTCTGTCCATCCAGCCAGGGATCTGGCCATAGCTATTCTGCCACCTGGTGGCCAATGGCAGCATTGCTCTTCTTCTCCCATTCCCAGCCTGCCATCCTGAGTTCTTTCTGAAAATTTCTGACACTGCATTCTGACTCGCATCCCCTGCCAACTGGGAAAATGGAGGCCTAAGAGAGGGAAGGAGGTTTACCAGCAAAGGGCTCTTCCAGAACCTGCACCCAGGGGCATGGCTTCAGTTCACCAATATGGAAGGGACTAGAGAAGTGGCAGGAGTTTTAAGCACCACATGAAATTGGAAGAGGGCAAGAAGCAGACTTGCAGCTATAGTAAAATCTACGGGGAGAGGTGAAAAATTCCTAAAAGTTGTTTCTACCCACTTCTATCACCATAAACCAACTTCTGAGAGTAAACATTTATACTAACCAGGCACTAACCAGCATTATCTACTGCTAACAACTACCCACCAACCATTAACACCACTAACCTCTCACTACTGATGTAACAGCCACCAACCACTAAGTAACCACCAGTATTAACTAACCTAAGCCCTAGCTCCATGCTCACATCTCTAACACAGCTGGCACCACTTAAAACTCAGACACAAAGATATGTTTAATAACAATGATGATGCAGATAAACTGTATTTATACTGTGTGTAGGGATATGGTAGACCATCACTTATTGAAAGCAATTTATCTAGGTATTCAAAAGATTTCTGATGCCAGTCTCATTCCTGTAATCCTACTCAGGAAGCTGAGGTCTGAGGACCATGGTTCAAAGCCAGCCTAGGCAGGAAAGTCTGTGAAATTCTTACATCTAATTAACCACCAAAAAGCTGGAAGTGGAGCTGAGGCTCAAGTGGTAGAATGCTGGCCCTGAGCGGAAAAAATTCAGGGACAGCACCCAAGCCCTGAGTTCAAGCCATAGAACCAGAACACACACACACACACCCCCACACACACACTCACACACAGTATCTCCTTATGGCTATTGTTTGTGTTTTCTTGATGCTAGCGACATCCTTACTGACAACCGGGTGTTGAGCCTGTTATTTTTAAACATACAAACTCACAAATATTATGATCTCAAGATATTTCAAAAATGCTGAGAAGAAACTTTCAGGAAACACAAAATAGTCAGTGGCTAAAGTCCTTGGGTAATAAAATGAAAGTTATTTTTATTTTGCTTTTTAAATAGAAGGCTGTGTTGCCTGAATGCCTGCAATGAGTGTAAATGATTTTCAGGATCTGTGATTAAAGGCAGAACTGTGTGCTAGGCCACACTTTGACTTCACCTTTGTCTGACCAGGCAGGTGCCGGGCAGTAGAGCAATGTGTGGGGGCAGCAGTGCCCCCCTTAATTCCCCTTCATACAACCCCTTGGGGCACCGCATCATAGCTTTTTCTGCTCAGAAGAAATGGAGCCAGGCCCAGGATGACAAGCCCATCCCTTGTGTGGCCAAGGATCACAGGGGGTTCACAGTGACAGGACAGGTGACAGAAGGTAATCACCCAGTGGGCAGAGGCTAGAAAGGGAGATCTCTTCTCTCAGGGCAGCTGGGAAAGTGGGGGATGACCAGGAGTCTGGGGTGGGGGCAGAGCTGAGCTGCTCCTTGGCCATGAAGCAGGGAGACATCATCCTGACCTGCAGAGCTTTGATTTCTGCCTGTTCTCTGTGCTGAAATCTGTCCCTAAGGATAGCACCTAGTCCCCTCCTGCCTCTTGCTGGCAGGGAGGGTGGCAGAAGAAAGACCTGTGTGCCCACCTCTGGAAAGGTGCACGGCAGGGGCGAGGAGGAGGGGGGGAGAGGGAGACACAGAAAAACATCTAGAGTTGAGGAATTTCCACCCCACAGAAGCACAGGAAATGAAACTCATCAATTTCCAGTACAAACCCAAAAGGCTAACCAGAAAGAAAAAAGCCATCCACACCTGATAAACATCAGGGAAACGCACTGTGCTGTGCCTTTACCTCATTTGACTCTCACACATTAAAGCAGAGTAAAAGCCAAGTGTTGGTGGGGTGGCTGGGGTTCTAGAATCTGGGGAGCTACCAATGTAGGTGTACAATCTGGCACCACTGAGTCACATGAAGAAGAGGCCCCCAGCCGTGCTCCTGGGTGTGAGTCCCACAGAAAGGTTCCACAGGGGACAGCAGGTAGTAGGAGCGGGGGCGAAAGGGAGGAATGGCACCTTCATACAGCACCCAGATGTCTCCACAGCAACACGGCAGATCCATTAAAATCACAGTGCTGAGTCAGGGAGAGGCGTATGACTGATGGGCGTTATGTGAATTTAGAGCGCGTGCGCAAGCACACACACACACACACACACACACACACACACACACACACACACACACATCCCACTGCAGATTTTGCCAGGTACATAGAAATCCAAAGTGAATACATGGGTTTGCCTGCCTGTGGGAGGAGGGCAATGGGAATGAGGATGGGGACAAAGAGAATACGTTGTCTAAATAAATAAAACATGAGAACCCTTGCAGAGACAGGTGACAATCACGTGGCATGAACAGAGCTAAAAATGCCGCTCTGCACTGGAAGTCCAAGCTAAGCACGCAGACACGCCCCGCTGCACTGCACAAGCCTGGACTCACTCAAGCACACACCATCCTCGTGCAAGTTCCTTGGCTCTCTGGTCTTGGCGTAGCCCCAGACTCTAATGAAAGAACCAATGGGAACAGAAACAAGAACCAAGGAAGTCAGGGGAACCTAGAAAAGAGCTGGTGTAGGGGCAGGGAGGAAGGGCTGCTCCTGCTCAGAACTGGGCAACAGTTTGCAGGGGCTTTGCCCAAGGGCTCCTGGAATCCCCTGGATCCTCCAGAGGGTAGATGGACCAATTACAGCCCAACTTCTAGTGTGGCTTGTCCCAGTGCATGATGGGTCCAGGGTGGCTTGTCCCGGTGCATGATGGGTACAGGGTGGCTTGTCCTGGTGCATGATGGGTCCAGGGTGGCTTGTCCCAGTGCATGATGGGTCCAGGGTGGCTTGTCCTGGTGCATGATGGGTCTAGTGTGGTTTGTCCTGGTGCATGATAGGTCTAGCGTGGCCTGTCCTGGTGCATGATGGGTCCAGAGTGGTTTGTCCTGGTGCATGATGGGTCCAGTGTGGCTTGTCCCGGTGCATGATGGGTCCAGGGTGGCTTGTCCTGGTGCATGATGGGTTCAGTGTGGCTTGTCCTGGTGCATGATGGGTCCAGTGTGGTTTGTCCTGGTGCATGATGGGTCCAGTGTGGCTTGTCCCGGTGCATGATGGGTCCAGGGTGGCTTGTCCCGGTGCATGATGGGTCCAGGGTGGCTTGTCCTGGTGCATGATGGGTCCAGGGTGGCTTGTCCTGGTGCATGATAGGTCTAGCGTGGCCTGTCCTGGTGCATGATGCATCAGTCTAGCACACAGATGTCAACACTTTCATCCCCGAGCCAGAAGGCATCGCCCACTTGGCACAGGTCCTCCGAGCTGGCAGAAGTTCAGGGTCGTGACCATGCCACTTCCGCAAGATCTCATTCCTCACCTCCAGGGACAAGGGAGATGGTGTTAGGAAGATCCCCTTTCCCAGGGAAAAGGGGCAGGAGAGGCAGTATGGAAGGGGTGGGCAAGGATAGCGCACTGCCAAGTAGTACCAAGCACTGCCTTTAGAAGAGACTACCTCCTATTCCCGCTAAAGACATCTGGTCACCTCCTCCTTCCTCTGAGGATATCTAGCCCTTGCCTTTTGCTCTTTGTTTACCCTTTTAGCTGTCTGAGCCCAGTTAGAGATTTGTGAGTGCTTTCCAGAGTTTCTAGCCAAGTAACTACTCTACTCTCCCTAAAGGACTCCACCCACCCCTGCTTCAAGGTTCAGTGCTGTGAGCTCAAGTGCGGCCACCAGACATCTGAGGAGAGACTGTGATGGGAGAGAGAGGACTCAGCCCTCTGCCTGAGGTGCTAGCCCTGTCTGACAGAGCTGAGCTGGGCTGTGAGGACAGGCCAAGGGGAGAGCAGTTTCTGTCTAGCATAGGGTTGACTTCCCACTGCTGTGCCACAGAGACAACACTATTAGGAGGCAAGGAGCTCCCCACGTCTAGGCAATGTCACCTCTGTTCTCTGGCACAGAGAACAGATCTCTTTGAGGGGAGAGAGAAAGGGGAAATGTCACAATGTCTCAGGCCAGCCCTATCCTGCAGCTACTACCCAGAAGAGGGTCTTGCCTGTTTGAGACAAGCTGACCACAATCTAACAAATTGTCTAAAGGGAAGAGACTGGCTGGGATGGGAGCTGCAGGGCATAGACATGGGAAGGGAGGCACTTGGGCAAGGACTGATATGGGAAGGGAGGCATGAATGATTGGAGATGATGGTCACACACCTCTTGGTTGAGGAAGCAGTACAGGACAGCAACAATGAAGCCCTGTAGAGCCATACAGAAAGGATCCCATTAGAACACTTGGGCCTGGTCTCAACATGTCCTAGTCTGTCTATTGCCTTCTCTCCAACAGTCTCAGACTGTGACTGGGCCAAGTGTAAAAGGAGAACTTAATCATTCATCCATTACTATGTACAGGCATACATAGTTGTGCGTCCCATCAAGCCAGCCCCCCATGACTCTGATCATCCCATTCATCCCCCTGTAATGAACACGTGGATGGGTGGATGGATGGGTAGGTGGATGAGTAGACAGATATGTAGGTGAATAAGTGGATATGTGAGTGGGTGGTGGGTATATAGGTGGATGGATGGGTAGGTGGGTGGTTAGATGGGTATGTAAGTAGATGAGCGGATAGGTGGATAAATAGATGGATGGACTGACAAGTAGATGAGGGTGGGTAGGTAGATGGGTGAATGGGTAGATGGATGAAAAGATAGGATAGATAGACAGACAGACAGACAGACAAATTGTTAGATGGCTTGTGGGTAGAGGACTATGTGGATAGTTGAATGAACAGGGAAGTAGAGGGAGGGATAGAAGATGAACAGGTAAATAAATTGTTAAGCAGATGGATGGGCAATAGTGGCCCTCACCCCATCATGAAGTTAACCAACTGCCTAAGTCCTGGGTGTAGGGAAGTGGAGGAGGGGTATAGGGAGGGGGCATCACCTGGAAGGAGCCCAGTCCCAGCTCGAGGGGGAGGCGGACACCCAGGCCAACACTATCCGGCAGGAAGTTGAAGATGATGTAGTGAATCCCAAACAGTGGAATGAGGAGAAGTGTGGACCTGGAGAGTCTCCTGTGGGCAGACAAATGCTAGACTCTGAGGACACCCTGGACACTCTGTCCACTCACACAGTCCTCCACCTCCCTGGATCCTTCATCCTCCCCCCGCCTCCCAGCCCATGAGACTCTCCTCCAGGATCCTGCTGCCCCTGTGTCAGTTCTCTTGCCCCAGCAAAAAGTCTTGGCCTCTTTTAAAGTCTAGTTCAAAGGTTACTTCCTCTAGGAAGTTTTCTCCAACTCCCTTCTTGGTCCCAGAGAGCACCTACTTCCCCACGCCCCAGAGGAGGGGCCACAGTACCTAAGAGTCAGCCTAGGCAGAAGGGAAACTGGGTGTCTGGAGACCTGACTTTCTCCTACTGCAAGACAAGATCTTTTCTCATTCTGGGAATGTTGGACTGGGGTATGAATGCCTGCCATAGGAGAGGTGACCACATGGAATCCCCAACATATGCACACATGCATACATGTACATATATGCCCATAGCACCTGCCTACATACTTATATTCACACATATACATATACACATGCACACACACAGTATCAGTACTGAGACAGCGTGGGGAGCTCCTTGCACACACACACACATGCACACACACACACACATGCACACACAATAAAAAGCTCCTTGCACACACATACACACATGTGTGCACACACACGTTCAGTACCAGTACTGAGACTTGGTGTGGAGAGCCCCCTGTGCTGGCTCCAGCTTTCTCAGCAGGATGCGAATAATATTGAGAAACAGCCCGAAGTTCACCTGGAAATGGTGCACAGAAAGGTGGTATCGAGGGTGAGGGGAGGTCCTGGCAGGCCTAGGGTGGATCCCAAATCCTTGAGATGCCAGGTGGTTCTTGCAGGCAAACAGGAAGATAGATAGAGGCTCCAGAAGGAGAGTACGGAGGGCAGGGGAGGGTGCAGGACTCCCCCTCCTCTCCAGCACTGGAAGCAAGGTGCAATGGCCTTGGCATCTGTCTCAGGTCCCTAGTGGGAGCCCCCTGGGTGCCCACTGGGTGCCTGCCCCAGCTTCTCTTCCCCAGTCCAACCCTTCATCCTTGGCACCTCTGAGGATGAAGAGACCACTAGGGAAGCTGCAGCTGGGAGAGAACTAGGGCAGAGCAGAACCAGGGCCCGTTTCCTGGCCCTTGGAACTTTGACACCCACTGTATGAGACCCCTTGAAGAGCGGGATGGGGGGAGAGGGCTGGAATAAAGTGAGGATACCATCCAGAACTAACCCCCACGGAGAGCACGATGGGCCCTTTGATGATCCACCAGTAGGGGGAGCTGTCATCCAAGTCCCAGCACCTGAGGGGAGACAGCCCAGTTGTGCTACACAGAACCCTTCCTAGACACTACGCAGCCACCACACAGCATCACACAGCCACCCTACACCCCCCTACCTTCCCTCTGTACTAGAGCCCTGGGCCCTTCTCTGCCCCCCACATACCAGGGGCCTGGGTCTTTCTCTGCTCTGTTATCCACACCCTCCACCTCACCTCCACACCCTGTGTCCTGGTCCTATGTCTCAGCCACACTGGCCCCCTTGTCTGAGAGGAATCGCCTGCCCTAAAATCTGTCCTTGCTGCCCCGTTCACCTCTCCAATTCCAGAGCCCCACTGACAGGTCCCTGTGCCCCACAGCCCTGGCAGTCCAGGTCCCTCTTCTGCCCCCTAGGTGCAGCCTGCAGTCCCCTCTTGCCTTGCCCTCCCCTCCAGGCCAGGGCCTCCACTCTGCTCCTCTCCCCAGACTCCAGGCCTGGTGGGGAGCAGAGGGTACTGACACTCACGCGGCATCCTCAAAGGCCATCTTGCAGATCACCCAGGTGCCCGTGCAGAGCATGGGGAACCCTGCGCAGAGCAGAGGAGGCTCCAGTTAGGGTTGTGTCCCTGAGATTGGCCCCACGGCCCACCACCACTGCCAGGCCTGGCTGGGGCCCCAGGGACCTCACCTCAGGATCCCCACCAGTCATGTGAAGGGGCTCTGTCTAGACCCATTGGAACTCCCCGCCCCCTCCTCCACGGAGTCCCACCAGGGATACTCACCCCAGCCTGCCAGAACTAGCCACCAGAAGGCTGATCTGGAGCCCGGGGAAGTGGAGGCCAAGAGGAAACTCAAATAGACGGCTTCTGCGAGCAGCCAGCTGAAGTTGGTCATGGTAGCGAAGTGGGAGGCCGCCACTGAAACCTTACACAGGACCTGAGGGCCAGGGCCAGAGGGCTTCAGAGTGGAGACTCCCACCACAGCCCCCATCCACAATCCACAGTGCCCCACTGCTCTGAGACTGCAAGTCCTTAACCATACACCAGCAAGCCTAGACTGACTGAATCCTTGGGCAGCCCCAGGATGGGGTATCATGATATGGTGGTCAGGGCACAGACTGGAGGTCCAGAAGAGATGGACTAGTATGATATGGTAATGGGACAGACTGGGACCCAGGGCTCAAAGCTGCATGGCTAGCCACACAAGCCTCCCCATGCCTCAGCTTTCCACCCATGCAAGGAGAAACTCTTGTATCATCTTGCAGCCTTGTTGCAGTATTAAACAAAACTGCACAAGAATTGGCCACTGCCTGGGATGGGGACACACCTGTTATCTGTTGCCCATCTATGTGGTTAGACTAGGTAAAAGAATGGGTCTGACATCAGCCCAGAGACCCTCTCTACAAAAAGTAAAGCAAATAGGGCTGTGACATGGCTGATGGGTTAGAGTGCCTGCCTAACAAACCTGAGGCCCTGAGTTCAAATCCCAACACTACCAGAAATGAACTCAAAGGATACACCAGTAAGTGTATTCACTGTCTGGGTTTGCTCACCAGCGGGGTTGGGCAGGGTGGGGGAGTGAGCAGTGAAGCCACCCCTGAGCCTAGATGCCCAGGTTTGAGCCAGCTCCACCGTGTAGCTGTGTGTCCATGGAGCAGTATGTCTGTGTAGCCATGTGAGCGTGTAACCATGTGAGCATGTAGGAGGGTGACCTGGCCAGCTGCCCCCCACAGGGACAGAGTGAGGCGTTCAAGGCATTGGAAGATCCAGGAGATCATTTCTGCAAGGGCTCATAGTAAGTGCTCAGTGTATTCAATTATTCATTTCTTCATTAATTAACTCAGGCGGTGTGCTGGTCCATGCATTCACCAGCACACTGTCAGAGGACCTTCATGGTCCTGAGCCTCACTCTTTGCTTCCTGCCTGCTTTTTCAGCTCCTTTGCTCCCCAACAGCACCCTTTCTGTGTGACATCCAGTTTTGTAGCCCAGATTTGAGTCTGTTCCCCACTGAGCCCACACGAGCCCTGCCGCTAACCCAGCAGCAGAGCCCCCTCCTCCCTGCTTTCAGCTTCCTTCCCCTGAGGTCTTCAGATCTGGGTGCATTCTGTCTGCTGGGTGCTTCTAGAAGGAGGGAGCCAGCATGGCCTAGCCACAGACAGAGAGGTTCTGGGAGAAGGGCAGGAAAAGGCTAGATGTAGTGCACTGGGAGCTGGTGTACATGTGGAATATGGAGTGGCATATGAAATGGGAAGAGATGGCATGTCTCTGGATTCACCTGCAGGTCCAGGGAAGGCCCAGGGCTTGGGCTGAGCTAGAGGAGGTGTGGGTGGTTGCACAAGCTCATAGGTGTACTGTCACTGCCCCTGAGGAAGAGGGTCAGCCCACAGGAGCAGAGCAGACCCATCCTCCAGGCCCCTCCTCTAACCCTACACGCCCACCCTCCAGCCCAGTCCTTTACAGTGGAGAAGCCACAGTGGTCCGAGGTGTCACTGTCACCGAAGAGGGCGGCATCCTTCAGGAACACAGCACACGCCTTGAGGATGAAGGTGGCAAACAGCTGGGTGTGGATGTAGTTCCGGGGACAGTGGAGCCTCCTGGAAGGGGAAGGGGGTGGAAGGGGAATGGGTAGGGACCAGAAGAAGGGATGGGAGATGAGGGTGGACAAAATGGAACCAGTGGAAGGCATGGGGGGATAAGGATAGACAGGTGGAGACCAGAGGCCACAGAGGGCTTTCTGGTACCTAAGACAGGGCCAGGCTGCCCTGGACTATGCTGGTCTGGTCTGAGGGGATTTGGATAAACTCAAAATGGAGGAAACCAAACTAAATCATATGAGAGGAGGTGAATGACATTGAGCAGAATCAAGCTACATGTGAACCTTAGCCCCAAGGGTCAGCTGACCAGTACTGGTTTGGACTGGGCATGCCTCTAGGAGCTCTGCATTCAGTTGGAGAGCTCCTGGTCTGATAGAGCAAAGGCTGACATGGCAGGGCACTGCCTGGGAGCCCTGGATGGATATCAGAGACGCCCTCTTCCCCTTATAGGAGGCAGAACACTGGCCTCATAGGGGGGCTCAGACTCAGAAGTCTAAGGAGCCATTAAAACACACCGTGGTCAGGGGAGGAAACAGTCAAGAGAACCCTGGGCAGGAGGCCAAAGGGAATCTCAGAGGCAGAGGGAGCTGGGATTTTGGCAGATATAAACCCTCCCAGAGGAAAGGAGGCAATCGAAGCCAACAGAATGCTCTATGTGAGCGAAACTATGGCCCTAAGAATGAGTTCTGGTATAGAGGAGGGGGCCCATGCCTCGAAGAGTTGAGAGCCTCTAAAGTGCCCAGGCAAAGAATCAGACTTGGTCCTTGGGCAGCGGGGAGCCAAAGAGTGTTTCTGAGGAAATGAGGATGACAAACCTGAGAGCAAGCAGGATGGCAATGGCCACACACAGGGCGACGATGGAGACACTGTGGCCCGCAGTATAGATGACCTTCACTGTGGAGAAGTAAGACTTCTGGGGCAGCGCACGGGGGAGAGAGAGAATCAAGCATCAGCCCTCAGGGAAAGGGAGACTGGGAGCCTTTGCAGCTCTGCCTGCCGAGTGAACTGTGGCTCTGGGAATGCCACAGGAGACTCCCTCCCTGTACGGAGCCTCTCTCCTGCCCAGCAGGAAGTGGGGGCTGATGGGTGGAAATGTTGAACACTGGCTGCTGTAGCTCTGGGTGCCAGGGAGGACAGCAGAAACTGCCCATCCCTGGAGAATGACAGGGCCTCTGCGCTGACATACATGGGGACACAGCCTCACTACATAAAGGGAGTGAGGCAGCTTTGAGCAGCAGGGAGAGGGAAGATGCTCAGGGACCAAGTGTTTGGATCAGACTCCTGCCTGGTCCCCAAAGATGCAGGCAGCAAAAGCCAGCTCTTCTGTGCAGCTCAGAAGCCCCAGGGCCTCTTCATCTAAAACATGGCCACTCCCATGCTTCCAGCACTCAGGCCTGAGCAGAGGGAAACGGATGTTCTTTATAGGGCCCTGCTCCACAAAACTCTGGGAAGGGCTGGGTCTGTGCAAGCACACATACACACCACACACACACACCACACAGAGATATACACACCACACACACACACACCACACACAAAGAGATGTACAAACCACACTCATACACACACATCATACACACCACACATATACAGCAACATAGATGCTCACACCAACACATATGATACACACATGTACAAACCACACTCATATACACATCACACACCACACACACCAACACAGATGCACACACCAACACATACCACACACACAGCTTCACACACTACACACAGACACACAGACACAGACACACAGACACACACACACACACACACACACACACACTCGTCCCTCCAGGCTGAGGACTGGAGAAGGTAGGTACTTGCTTGCCCAGCAAAACAGCAATCACCATTTCCTCTGGAACCACCCAGAGCTCTCCGTGCAGGAGTCCAGGTACAAAAGGGGCCATAATATTGGAGTCCACACACATCCTGGTCTGCCCTCTACCTCTCCTCTCCCTCTAAGCCCTGTGGATCAGTCTTGTACGCATCGACCAAACCCACCTTTGCAGACACTCACTGCCCCCTGCCGGACACTACTGCAACTACAAGTCCAGAGAACAGTGGCAGTGGGAAAAGTGAAGCCTACAGGTACATAACTCAAACTGTTGTTTGTGGCAACCCAGACTGCAAGAACCAGACTGCAAGACCCCAGGACCTCTTACCTCCTCCACCAGGAGCTCCAAGGGCACCGGGCAGGCCACAGGGTAGGGTGGGAAGGGCTCCGACCAGCCTTGGACCGTACAATCCCGCTTCACTGCTCCTGGGGTGCAAACCCACAGTCACAGCATGCCTTCCCTCCCCCTGGGCAGGATGGGAACACTGGGTCCAAAAGCTGTGGGGCCAGGGATCCTTTCCCACAGAAACCAGGCTCCAGGTTCCCCTCTGCAGCACCTTCTCTTATCTCCATGTGCTTCTGTTAGACAGAGCAATCCCTAGTACAGGGCAGAGTACTCCCTGCTTATGGAGGGACCATATACCTGGCACCCACGCCAGGTGAAGAAGAACAGAGGCACCCACTCCACCCCCTCCACCCAGTCCTCGTAGCTAGAAACTTGGTGGCACAGGCCCTGCCTCCCCCACCTTCCCAACACGCCTTGCCCCTGCTGATGCTCTGCCCTCTCCCCCTCCACCGGAAACTAAAGTCTTACTCTCATGGGGTGGGGGGGACCCTCAGGGTTGCCTGACTTGTACAGGGCTACAAAAGTAGAGGGGAGGTTGGTGTTCAAATCCAGGTCGCTCCTCCCCCAGAGTAGAAACATACCCCACCCCACCCCACCCCACCCCTGATGAAAACAACCTTTCCTCATTCAAAGTCCCTCACCTGGCTCCAAGCTGAACTGAGAGAAGAAATCTGGGCAGGGGAGGGTCACCCACTCGCCAGAGCTTGCTGTAGGCCAGCACAGCAGACCATCCCATGTCACAGGGCAGACTGAGAAGAGCACAGGAGAGATGGAAGAGCAAGCCCACCAACAGAGTGTCTGGCCCCTACTCCGAGGGATGAGGCTGGAGGAGAGGGCAGTAAGGAAAGCCCCCACCCCTCCACCCTTAGCTCCATACTCAGGGAGGTGTTGGATGTCTCCTCGGCCTTCTGCACACAAGCATGCTCATCCTCCCTCAGCTGGGCAATGAAGTCACATTCTGGAGGTCCATAGCCCAGAGCCTGTGGGAGGATGACAGGGTGAGCCAAGCCAACTGGGTTCTAAGCCCTCTCGCTTCTCAGCCCAAGAGACAGAACAGACAAAGTCCTATGCTTTCCCTGACCCTGACCCTGGGCACAGGCCTGCTGTGTTCCATCATGATGGGCTTGGTGGGGCAGTGATCCTGGCATGGTCTCCTCTTGTGTAAGCATCCTGCTTTGCGCTCCTGCTCCCTGGAAGTGGTTCTTCAGAGTAACTCCCCACCCAAGGCTGTCTGTGTACTAGTCATGGAAGCTTGCGAATGTGTAACTTTACGTGGTTAAAGTGCTTTGCAGATGTGAAGTGGGGAATCTTGAGCTGGGCCCAGGCCCTTTGTTATCTGAGTGGCACCATGCCACCACAACGGTCCTTCTAAGAGGACAACAGCAAGGCCAGTGCCCGAGAATGAGGTGAAGTGATGGAGAGGAGAGGAAGAGAGATGGAGATCGCATCATAGAAGCTATGCTGCTGCCTTTGATGCTGGGGGAAGCGGCGCAGGCCAAGGAGAGGACAAGGAAGAGTATTCTCTCCTTTGGCTTATGGAAGGACACCACACTGCCAATAACTCAGCTATTGTCTAATGAAAACAATTTTGGAATTTTGGCCATAGCAAGTTCTGCTTTCAGAGGTTCTCAGGCAAGAAAATGGTAGATAGTGAGAGAGTACATGGATGAGTACATGAGCACTCGGACTAGTACATGGGGGAGCATGTGAATGGGCTGTGTGGGTGGATGGGTGGATGAAAGGATGGATGGATGGATGGATGGATGGATGGATGGATGGATGATGGATGGATGGATGATGGATTGATGGGGAAGGGAAGATGGATGGATTGATGGAGGATGGAGGATGGATGAGTGAGGATTCTGTATCAGGCCTTGAGGTCTATGGAATTGGAGCCCATGTTATGAGACAATCATTGGTTCTAGCACCCCAGTGACCCCTCACTACTCTAGCATTTCCCTCCCTAAAATGGAGCTCTTACTGTAGTATACACACAGAGTTGAGGAAGGGGTGTCCTCCTCTCAAGCTGGGGAAGGGTAATAAAGTTACCTGCACTGCCCCTGGATGTCAGCCCTTGACAATCAGATCCATTTACCATACAGCCCTGGTCAGTAGTGTGGCTTTATCTTTTACACACAAGAATCTGGGGGGGAGGGGCAATTCCTCAGGTCACACAGCTAGTTTCGAGGCTCCAGGATTCAAGGCCAAAGTTCTGGTGTCTAGGGTCAGGTACATCAAGGCTCTTGGAGCAACCCCTGAAAGGCTGGGGGAGAATCCAGCTGTAGCACATGGGGCTCACCCAGGACCTTGTGGCTCCCCTCCTGCCCCCTTGGGCACTTGCAGTGGTAACTTGTGGCCCTTGCCAGCACCACTATGGTTCAAGCTATAGAGGAATAATTGGTAGCCAGAAGCTTCTCAAGTGAAGGGACTCATGGGAGTCTCAGAACAAGAGAGCTGGCATCTACTAACTCCTCAAGCTCAGTGATTCCCAGAACCCTCTTCCAAGAAGCAACCTCTCTGGGGGGCTGATTAGATGGAGTAGCCTCAGGGTAGGGAGGCTCAGACCTTCTCCAGAAGGTGACCTAAAAGAAAAGGAGGACCTCACCTCCCAATTTTAAGGCCTGTCTTAGACTGGGTCAGGGCCCTGTGCACCCCAGGGGGCTCAAACAAGCCAGGGATGTATGCTGTCAGCACTGGAAGAGGGAGAAGGGAGCCCCAGGCTCAGGCAAGGCTACCCCAACCACTGCCCGGCAGCCACCTGGGATGTGTGGTGGGTGGATGGAGGAAGGAGGAAGGGAGGGAGGAAAGAAAGGAAGGAAGGAGAGAGAAATGATCTGGGGAGGGAGGGAAGGGAGGATAAAGGGAAGAAAGACTAGGAGGGATGATGGATGGATGGATGGATGGATGGATGGATGGATGGATAGATGGATGGATGGATGACAGGGAGAGAGAGGACTGGAAGAGAGGGATTGGAATGGAGGGAAAGACTGGCAGGGATGATGGATGGATGAATGGATGGATGGATGGATGGATGGATGGATGACAGAGGAAGGGAGGGAGAAAGGGAGGATAGATGGAAGGAGGGAAGGAGTGAGAGGGAGGGAGGGAGGAAGGGGGGATGAGAAGGATGAGGAAAGGACCCCAAGCTGGGAAGGAGAATGGAGTCTCCAGTTCAGTCCCCAAGGGCTCTGTGGCTCCCAGACCCAGAGCCCAGCAACAGGGCATTAGGGTCTAGCTGGCTACTCACGACTCCCAACTGGCTCAGCAAGCAGAGGGCGCAGGTACCCCACATCCCGCTGTCCATGTTGGGACTCCACAAAGGCTCCTGCAGTCAGCTAAGTAAATCTTGCCTGGTTTTCCTCCCCGATGGTCGCTTCCCCTTCCAGGTGGCTGCTTGCATAGGCAGAATCACCTACTGCTGAATATTCACCAGGGTGGCAGCACAGCTGTGCCCTGGGGCCCAGCCCTGAACAGGACTCTGTGTCCTGTCAGGGAGGAACTGGCCCAACACAGCCCTTCCCTTCTCTTCTGGGTCCTGACATTCATTCCCAGGACCTTCACTTCAGTTAATCATTGTTCCCCACCATGTTCTTCATATGACCCTCACTGGATAGCCCTTATCCTGCCTCTCTCAGGATGAAAAGGCCTCAGGAAAGAACAAGGAGGCTCTGGCTGCTGGAGGGTGAGTTCTAAGCTTGAGAGGCCCAGAAGAGCTGGGCCTATGGCAGAGAGATGAATTTTGCAAAGGAAACAGGGCCTCAAAGAGGACATAAGCTGGCCAGGTATGTGTCCCCTTAGCAAGACCTGCACGGTGAGTGACCGCTGTCCGTTTCAAAGCTCCTGACTTCATCTGGGGCCTGTCCGAGCCTCCAAAAGTCCTCTTGGCAAGAGGGGAAATCAAGGCAGGGAGGCAGTCTCACAAAGGGATCCACTTTGACTAGGACAAGGTAGTGCTTCAAAAGCAGAAATTAAAGGACTTACTCAGCAATTCAAATTATTTTGAACACTGGTCATGATTGTTGTAGTCTTGGGTTTTAGACTGCAAGATCTCTAGAGACAATGCTCCAAACCAGCCTGGACCTTGCACAGAACTTCAGAATTTGAAAGTAGATTTCATTTTCTAGGGCCATAAATGCTCCAGAGGCTGATGGGCTCTAACAGCTAGAGGTAGATCTCTATCCACAAGCCCCTGGCCACAAGCTGGAGGCAGCAGGTATGTTTACAGCCCATGGAGGTCGTGAATATGGAAGTGTCTCTGCCCACATGGCATCTGCATTAGGCGATGTCTGACATCAGCAGACCTCTATTTTTCCACCTTGATTCACACTGTCAACAAGGCGCTGACAAATACTTTGAAAAGAAAATGTGTACCACTAAAGCCCCAGGCTGCCTCAGGTTCTTGTGTGGCCTTGCCTGGTACGGACAATGCAGAGCTGAACAGGACGCAGAGCGCCTCCGTGGCTGGGTGAGGAGGATACAGGCTGAGCGCAGAAAGCTGAGAAGGCCTGGATTAAAAGGGGATCTACAACCTTCTTCCCATTGCTTCCTTGGAATAGCACCAGGAAGAATCTGGGATTCATCACTGCACATCCTTAGCCCCACTATCATTAGTATGAGGGTGGATACTCATTGGAGCTGAGGTTGGCAGTTCATAGTAGTGAACATCATCTAAATGAGAGGTTCTTCTAGGGAGCATGTTTGCCCTGACAGGAGACATTTGACAAAGCCTAGGGCAGGGAGTGAAGACAGATAGCTGCTCTTACACATCTACAATGCAAGGAAGGCTACCACCACCTTACATACAAGGAATTCTCTTGTCCAGAGGGTCAGTTACACTGTGGCCCCCAAGACTCTCCCTAGGTCCCTCCATCTGGGAAATGCAGGGCCGTGGGCCCCCTTTCTCTAGCTCTTTATGCGCACGTGCGAGCGTGTGTGTGTGTGTGTGTGTGTGTGTGTGTGTGTGTGTGTGTGTGTAGGGCTCAAGTTCTGCTTTCACCAACTTTTTCCAGTTGTGCATTTGCCCAGTGACTTCTGAGTTTGTTTCTATATCTGGACATGATCATAAAGCTAGCAGCTTTCTTAGACAGTTGATGGGATGAGCACTGGAAAGATATCTGAAGTACTTTTGTATAGGGCCTAGAAAGGTACATAGAGTACCTTGTATATGTCCTGACCCCCAGGGTACCATCCTTGATGCTATGGTGAAACAGGAGTAGATTACCAGCTAATAAAGGTAGAACAACTGGTTCTTTGTCTTTTCTTTTCTTTTCTTTTTTTTGGTACTGGGTATTGAACCCAGGATGTTGTACTTGCTAGGCAAGCGCTTTGCCACTGAGCTACATCCCAGCCCATCTTTGTATGTAATAAACGTAATCTTTCAGTCACATCTGTAAAGTATAAATCTAAAATGGTTTAAACCCTACCTATAAAACAGTAGAATAATAATAATAAATAGTAATTCATTTTATGACCTCAGAATAAAGCAGACTTCCTTATGTAATAAAACGAAAACCATACAGGAAATATCAATGATTGAACACATCAACATTAGAAATAGTGCATGCACAAGGTGTGTGCTGGTGGCTCACACCTGTCATCCTAGTTACACAGGAGGCTGAGACCTACATGATCACAATTTGAAGTCACCCCAAGCAGAAATGTCCATGAGACTCCATCTCCTAAATAACTAGCAAAAAATGCAGGCTATCAGACTGGCTCAAGTAGTAGAGCTCCAGCTACATAAGGAAGAAAGAACACATGCAACTCAAAACCAAACAAACAAAAACTTACCCAACTTAAAATTCACAAGACCTGCGTAGACTGTTCTCCAAAGATCATACATATATGAAAAGTACTGCCAATGAATAAGTAAAATAAAAGTAACTGGAAGTGAACATAGAGAATCACTATGGTAACAATGAATGGCGGCGAATCTAGCAATGAATGCAAAAGCTGAAGAAAAGCAGGCTATTTGTTTCCAAGTATCTCCCCCCATACTTTAAACACAGAGGGGAAATAGTGGGATTTCAGTGAGGAAGCATCAGACATTCAAAGTTACCACCAGTCATGTTAGTGAGATATGATTAATGAGAAGTCATATTAATGACAAAGTAAAATGAGAAAATGGTGTTGGTTCTTCCCAAGCCATCACATAAGCCACATGGAGGATGGTGGACAAAACACCAAGCTGTCACAGACTGGGGAACCCATGGAGATGGGAATGGATCTCAGGACAGAGAAGAGACATAGTTTATTTATAGACTCATGCTAATACTGATTCCTTGCTTTTAATTCATGTTGTGTGATTGTGCAAGATTTACCATTAAAACACACGGGAACACTGTGTGCTGCCTTTGCAGTTGTTATGTAAGTCTGAAGACTGCTCAAACAGGAAAGACTTAGTTAAATGAGAGACAACACTTCTGAATGTCACATCTCAGAAGGGACCCATACCAGACTTTACAACTTAGTGCAAGGGAGGAAAATCCCTGCTTTTAAGAGAATGGACCCCAAAAAAGCACATTTAAAAGTATTCAACATCATCGGCCGTTTCAGAAATATAGATTTCACCATAAGGTGTCTCTGCACACACAGGAAAGGCTAAGATTACAAAACCATGGATACAATCTTGTCAAGAATTTGGAACATCTAAAATTCTAGAATACAGAATAACACAGCTTCTCTGGAAAGTGGTTAGGACTCTCTAGAAAACAGTTTAACTATTGAAAAGAAAGTCTCATTCACTCACTCACACACACACACACACACACACACACACACACACACACACACAAAACTTATATAACCAGTCATCTTCCTCTAAGTTCAGATTTATCCAAGTGAAACAAAGCTCATCACATAGAGACTGTATGCAAACACACATAAAAGGTTTATTTGTAACAGCCTAAACCTCAAGATACTTGAAATACTGTACCCATCTCTGGTGCATGGATTAACAAATCAAAATATCTGTGTTACCATAGGAATGTTATTTAGTAATAAAAAGGAACGCACCTCTCACACACAGAACCACAGGGGTGAAAGCCCCAAAGCATTTACCTAAGTGGAAGAAGTCAGACTAAATGTGATTTCTGCCACATGAAATTCTAGAAGTTTAAAAATAGCAACAGAAAGAAGCTGAGAGGCAGCCAGAAACCTACCAGAGAGGATTATGTATGGATTAAAAGGCAAGGAATGACTGCACAGCAGTGGTAATCTCTGTTACTCAATTACATACATTCGTTAAACTTCATCAAACTGCCGTCATGGTGGGCCATTTCTTCATACATAAATTGTTGGTCAATAAACCAAATGGAAATATATAGGTTTTCCAGTAGAAAAAAGAAAGTTGCACAACGCATGTATGTAGAAAGTTTAATTTACTTTTGCAAAAAAAACTGTATATATACCAAAGTTTTAATGTCTGCAGATGGTGAAATCACAAAAATAAAGTAGATGAAGGGGATGTGGGTAATGACCAAATAGAGCATTCTCTAATTCCAATATTGTAGTTTTTGAGACAACATTATGTCCTATGGGTACAATTAGATGTCAATTTAAATTATGGTGGGATGTGCATGGGTTTTCTGTGTGGGAGAGGTGAGTGTGGGAGATGGGCATCCGCCTGTCCATCTGTCCATCCGGTCACCCAGCCCACCAGCAGGTGCAGCCCTTGATAGCTGGCCAGGGGAGGTCTCTGAGGGCCCCTGGTGGTGGACCTGGGCAACTGCAGCAGTTCCAGCTGCAGATGGGGAAAGACCAGAGGTGGGTCCCTGCTGGGGGCTGGGGTTGGGATTTGGACCAGGACTTCCTTGCTGAAGCAGCTGCAGCAGAGGGAGCTTAGAGCCCCTGAATCCTGAATCCCTGTTTGAGCTGTGGCTCCCTGCCTGTTTCCCCAGGCCTCCCCTTCTGGGGTGGGGGTGGGGGTTGGGGAGGAGTCAGAAGGGACCCTGCAGATTGAAGCCCCTCCTGGGCCTGGCCTCACTCCATAGGGCCTTGTGGAGCCCTGCCCTTCATAGCCGCACTGACCAGGGGCTCATTGGGGATGTCTGTGGTTCTATAGGTGAGGGTCAGACATGGTGCTGGGACCCTGCTGTGTTGGCCCTCAACACTCAGAGAGATGGGAGCTGTAGCAGGTCACTGTGCGTGCCATGCAGGACCGGGTCAACGCTGTTGTCATGAGACTAGGTTTGTTATGATGGGAGAAGTCCTGAATAAGAGATGAATTCAGTCCACATCTTCTCCCTCTGTTTCCGAGAAAGTTCTGACATGCCCTGGGCTGGGTGACATGGATTCACCCTGGGCCCTCTGCTATTGGCGACATGGGTGGTCCATAATGGATACTGCCCCAGCCTCCAGAACCATAAGAAACAAACCTTTCTGTAAATTACCCCTTTTCCTATCTCCCATATTCTGTTACAGCAGCACAGACACAGTAAGACAGTGCTGAGTTGGGGGTGAGGGTCAGGCAGACTGAGCATCAGGCTGAAGGCCCTTGGAACACATCTGAGAATCTGACTTGGAACCTTGGGCCCTGAGTGCTGAGTTAGTCTCTACTACTAAGATTCTTCAGACAACTCCTAATCCCAAAGTGAATTTCCTGCTGGATAGAAAGGGGAAATGAGGGACAGAATTCCATATGTCCCCACAGGACAGGGGACACACTATTCAGGGCCTGCCTTTGGCCTGGCTGCCCTACCTGCAGCTCAAGATTGGGTTTGTCCTTGACGCCTCATTCCCTTCTCATGAAAGCAGAGGCCTACTGAGCACCTGGCAGGGAGAGAGGGCGAGGCAGGTGTAGAGGGAGGGGGCACTGAGACACTGTGCTGTAGCCCTGACCTGAGAACAATGCGTCACCTTGTTCTCCTCAGCGGAAAAAGGCTTTGATTTGTACATGGATAACTTGCCGCTTTATAAACTTTAAACCTCTGGAAGACTTTGCCCTTCTTACTGCAGCAAGCCTGACTGAGGGGCTACTGGGAGATGCACAGATGATGATGCATGAGCCAGGCATGAAGCATCAGCCTGGTTTTGCAGAAGGAGATGGTGGGGGACCCCAGGTTGTCCAGGAAACTGTTCTGTGGGCCTAGATAGACTCAGCTCTCTGGACCCTAGCCCTAGCCCCAGCCTGTGGGCCCAGCTGCCTGCTCTGACTATTTGAAGAACCACAGGTTGGTTTGATGCCAGACTCTAAGCCAGGTGGCCTTGAGCCACAGCCCATGTTCTAACAAGCTGTATGTATTATATATGAGAATTGAGTATTTTAACTTTTTTTTTCTTTTGGCAATGCTGGGATCTGGACTCAGAGCCTTTTGCTCAATTGAAAGCCACCAAAGGTCCCCAGCCCTTTTGTGCCTTAATTAATTTGTAAATAGGCTTAAATTGGAGGGGGGAGGGCCAGTTGTGGGGCTTGAACTCAGGCCTGGGTGTTGTCCATAAACTTCTTTGTGCCCAAGGCTAGTGCTCTACCACCTGAGCCACAGTAATGCTTCCAGTTTTTAAGGGTTCGTCGGAGATAAGAATCTCACGGGGGACATTTCTGTCCTGACTGACTTTGAACCACAATTCTCAGATCTCAGCCTCCTGAGTCGCTAGAATTACAGGTGTGAGCCACCAGTGCCTGGCAATAGTCTTGATTTTTATGGCTTCTCACCACTATCCTACCTATGTCTCCCAGATAGCTTGGATAGTTTTACCACCATGCTTGGTTTGTTGATTGAAATGAGGTCCTGATAACTTTCTACTCAGGCTAGCCTCAAACCACAATTCTCCATATCTCTGCCTTCCAGTTGTCTGGGTCCTAAGTCTGAGCTACTACACACAGCAATATTTATTTTTCAGTACTGAGGTTTGTGCTAAGTGCCCTGTGCTTGCTAAGCAAGTGCTCTCTCACTGAGCCACACCTCCAGCCCTTTTAATTTTTAATGAAATTAAAATTAAAATGGCAGAGGCAAGAAAGGAGGTGGCCACAGAGTCTTGGGCAAGAGGAAAAGAGTCTGAGATGGAGACCACAGGCTCCCTGTGGACCTCCTCCTCCAACTCCTACCAAACCCCACCCACCCCTCCATAGGCTGCCATTTTCAGGCAGTCCTGCTTACCCAGCCCTCTCTTCCCTAAGCCCTTTGCTTCCATTTGCAAATCAAGATGACCTGGTGCAGCCAGATACCTGTGCTCTGTCTGGAGGACATCAAGGAACAAGCAAGCCTGGTCCCTCTATGGGGGGCTCTTGACACTCCCCCAGATCCCCTTTAGAGATTCTGGGCCTGGGTCCCAGCACGGGGGGGGGGGGTGCTGACTGTTACCTTTGACCTGAGAACGAGTGTCCAGGGAAGAGCTCTTCCCAGCCTCCCCCTGCAGCTTAACCCCCACTCTGCCCACTCTTCTTCACAATCCACAGGTCTGCTTCCACTAATAACCCAGGATGGGAGAGGCAGTAATCCTGGGGACTGAGGATGGGGCTGGGGCTCAGTGATACCACATCTCCCTGTGGATAGTAATTTATGCACAGAATGTGCTGCTCTAGTGTGGAATTTTCATCTCTGGAATTGCCCCCAGGAACAAGCCCCCAGATGCATGGCCAGGGACCACAAAGTAAGCTGAAGAAATGTAGACCAGAGATGGGAAACAAGCTTGTCTGGCCCACAGATGGGCAGTTTGGAGCCCTTTGCACCTCCCTGCACCACCTTTTCCAAGAACAGAAAGCACTCAACAGCTCAGATTCCATCCTGGCTTTGCCTTTTCCAGCTGTGTACGCTCGGAGTCTTGACACTGCCTTTTCTGTCCATGCAGCTGTATGCGGTTCTCCTAACCTCTCCGGTTTGAAGAATTCTTGTCTCACAATCCTGCCTGCCACAGGATAGGACCTTGTTATTTCTCAAATCCCTAACTTTCCGCTCATTTACAAGTGCCCAGTGAAGCAACACATAAAGTCTTTGCCCAGTACAGGCTCATGGCAAGGTCATGGCCACAAGGCCCATGGACACTCTGGGGGATCCATCCCGAAATTCACCAGTGCCAAGAGCTCCATGCCTACCAGGAGCTCCAAGCTCCACAGGCCTGGCCTCTGCTGTGGCCTCCCCTTGGGACCCTGCTTCTTGCTTCTCTGCCTATATCAGAAATAATGCCCTGACCTGTCTAAGGGGCCCATCTGCAAGGCTTTGCTCCCGGACACTTCCCTTTTCCTCTCTGTTCAGTGAATGTCTTCTGCCTCCTACACCCCATGTTCCAGGGACTCATGGTGGAGGAGCAGACAGGCAAGCTGGGAGGGCCAGAGTCAGAGCCAGGGTCAGGGAGCTGCAGGCCAGCCTGAGTGCATTATGCTTGGTGTGGTACTTGGGCCTGGAGAGGCCTAGAAGGGAGGAACAGGATGGCACACTCAGGGGCAAAAATATTCATGGCAAAAGGAGGGGCTGAAAATGTGGCTTAGTGATAGAATGCTTGCCTAGCATGCATGAAGCCCTACGTTCAGTGCTTCAGTACCACATCAACAGAAAAAGCCTAAAGTAGTGCTGTGGCTCAAGTGGTAGAGTGTTAGCCTTCAGCAAAAGAAGCTCAGGGACAGTGCCCAGGCCCTGAGTTCAACAGCAGGAATGGAAAAAAAAAAAAAAAAGGAGTCACAGGTAAAGTGCAGAGCAAGCTCTGGGAAGTCCTTCCCTGACCACTGAGCCCCAGGTGACTTAGTCTCATCGCTCTGCTTCAGATTTCCCATCTTGCTAATCTGTGTTGTAGGCTTGGGGCTTTGCTAAAACCTTGCCATCTCCAGCTATGACCTGGGCAGTCACACTCAGGTGACAGCAAATACATGCTCATAGGTACATATAGGCACCCATACACATATGTACATGTGCACACAGACATACACATGCACACACACACACACAGACCCATGGACTCATTCTCATGCACACTCACACACCCATGCCTGAGGAGGACGAGGCCTTCCTACTTCCCATGTCCAGCAGGTTGAGTACCTGGGGAGGTGAGGACTCTCCACTTCTGGTGTCCGTCAGGTATGAGTCCTGTGGAGGACAAGGACTTTCTACCCTCACAGCCCTGTGAAGGGGCCTCAGCTCCCAGAGCTGCTGCTCTTGCCCTGCAGTACCTCTGGGGGCAGGGTACCCCTGAAGCCCAGACATTCGCCAGACCTCAGCCCGGAGCAGGGATAGGGCCTGTGGGGATTCCAAGCCCACTAACTCCTTTCCCAATCTAAAGCTAGAGTTTTTCCTCCTTGGAGTGGCTTTCCACTTAGGATCTAGGGCCCTGCAGCCTTCAGAATCTTCTGGAAGTGGAGCTGCCCTCCATGAGACCTTCTGGGCCTGGTATCTCTGGCCCACATTCCTGGAGGCAGATGCACTGCCCCTCCCAGTCCTGGAGGCCACTGGCCGCAGTGGAATTCCTGGAGTTTGTCTCGGATGGATGGTGCCACCCGGCCATCAGTAACAGCCTGGGTACGCTCATGACTCCGGAAACTTCACGAACAGTTAAGCACTCACTCACCTTAGGGCCCAGGAGTGACAGGGTAAAATGAGGCAGAAGGCAAAGGGGCTCATGTAAGGGGGTGGGGGGCTGGAAATTTCTGTCTCCAACTTTGTCACAAACCACACCTGCAGTACAGATACTAAATGCACACCTGGAACACTGGTTTCAGAGCACTCTGCAGCGGGCAATGCCAGGGACCTGTTTGAATTAAGGCGCCATCCCCTCAATCTGCCACTGGTTTGAGGGAGTCATGGACACTAGCTGTGTGTGCCATGCCCTCTTCAATGTGGATCCCTCTAAAGCTGACTCCGTGGTGTTGTCTTGGAAACCACTTCTGTACACTACACTTTTGTACTTCATTGTTCTGCCTTTTGCTCTGAAGGCATTGTGTGTGATCGATCCAAGGAAGAGGGGCAAGTATCCACATTGCTCATATGCAGATATCCAGAGACCCTGGTGCTGTCACCTGGCCTGGCAGGTGGGAAGCAGAACAAAGCAGGACAGACTGGCAGCCTTCACTGGGCAGGCAGGGTCTAGTACAGTGTCCTCACAAGCTTCAAAAGCCAAGCCAGGCTAAGGCAAGTCCTCTTGGAGCTCAATGACCAGAAAAGGTCACTCCTGCCCTGGCAGGAAGAACCCATCCAATCTTGGGCTCCAAAAAGAGGTTGTGTTCTGTATAGGCCCTCAACACACTGGCTCAGGAGCACTGCATGATGGGAACCACACACACATGAACACGCATGTACACAGATGCACATATATTTATGCACATGTGCATGCACATATATGTACATACATAAATATGTACAACATGCATGCACAGATGTGAACACATCTACACAGATA